ATTGTATTATTTCATTTATTCAAAAAATCATCATGACAATAACTTTCTTTTTTTTTAGCAAATAATTGTTTTTTTAATATACTGTAAATACCCAACGAATATACAGTTTATAATCAAAATAAAGTTTTAATATCTACTTACTAAAATTGTTAATTATAATAAAAATAATATATATATACATAATTGAAAATTTTTATTGAATAAAAAAAAATTTCAGAATTCGTAATACTTTTTAAATTTCTAAGTAAAATGTGACAGAATTACTCTCAATTGAATGTAATGCAACTAATTTTATATTGTTCTTATTGAATTAAATAACTTGTGAATTTAGGGAGAAATCGGTGAATGAAAAAGCATGAGGTAATTATGAGTTTGGTTTAATTATGTTTGATTAATTATAAATTTTTTTTATAAAATTTTTTTCAAATGAAACATAATATAAACATTCAAATCTTTATTACTAAGGAATAATAGATAACTAAATAATAATCATGAACAAAGAAATTTCTTTTAATAATTTATTTTATATATTAAAATGTTTTTTTTTTCCCCTCCCCGATCTTATTCTCTTATCAAAATGCACGATTAACAAACTTTGTACATATCTTGCTTTCATTATTTAACTGGAATTAAACCTTTTGAACATATTTCATTAATTCATTTTTTTAAAAGATTAATTTTAAATTCTTTTTATTGTTTCTTGCGTTATCGTAAAGTTTCACATTACAAGTTTATTTAAAAGGAAATTATCGCTCACATGACATGGCTAAATACGCGCTGGTTACTATTTTATTTGAATCATTGTGTAATGAATAAACACAGCATATTTGTTATTATACATTATCATTATCGCCATTTTCAAAATGATGTGGACAGTTTATTTGTGATTGTATATTCGAACATCAATATTCGTCCAGTTTTCATCATCCAGCATTCGTCTTCTTTTCTTTTTATTCAAATATAACTGAATACACCATCTTGATAACGGTGATAATCTAACTTAATAATATTACAAAAAAAAAAAATTTTTTTATTATTCTTATCAAATTTTTATTTAAAAATTATAATTGATCGAAAATAAGTTTTGTTTCATGATACAGATTTGACTTCATTATAAGTTATAGCAATAATAATAATATTTTTGAAACTTATTCGTAAAAATGAAAATTATTGCAAAGAAAGAAATTTAAATAATTTGTTCATAAATTAATTTTCCACATAATTTACAATCTTATTTACTTTTAATAATCTTTTTCATAATCACAAATCTATTATTATTAGTTATTATTATTATTTGTATTATTTGTAACTATTTTATCAAAAACAAAATTGCAGTGCAAATTTTTCTGAGTATAAGCTATGTTCAAATTACTATAAAATTTCTTTTGAATGTGTTAAATCAACTTTGATTGAAAAAACCCATTCTAAATTCTTTATTTACCATGGTGGAATGCTTATAATCAATGTATAGTTTGTAATAAACTCCTTGAATTCGAAAGTGATTGTCAGAAATTGTGCTCAAGCTGCTTTATATTTTATACTGGATGTAGATATTGTTTGACAACAAACATTATTTTTGGATATACAAACCAATCTAAATGTAGTAAATGTAAAAGAATTTTTATTATTGAAATCAAGTGGAAATTATAATATTGATAAATTTTTATATTTTACAAATGTTGATAATAATGATAAAATATTATGAAATTTCTAATTATATTAATAATAAAAAATGTTTTCGTAACATTTTTTTTGTTAAAATAATTAAAAAATGTTTCAAAATATTTTTTTTATTAATCACTTATTACATGTTAATACTACATTCTTGAAAAAATAAAAAAATTTTTTTTTTGTGTTATAATGAATTGTGAATTTTGTCAATTAAAGTGATTTGTTTTTTTTTTTTAATTAAACTTAATATGACATAAAAGTACCACAGGAAGCTCTAAATCACAAAATTGTGGTTTAAGAGTTCTGTCCATGTTCTGTCCTGTTCTGTCCTGTTCTGCTCTGTTCTGTCTTGTCCTGTCTAGTACTATATAAATAAGTACTATAATACTTCCGGAAAAATTGTGCAGATCATGCCCATATTTTGATAATGACAAACTAACCAATCAAATTGCTAATACCAAAAATAGGATCAACAAATTTTCATACCAAATCTAATCTGATCAGCAAATTGAATTCTAAATTTATTTTTGTTTTTAAACATTATATAGTGGTGTCAAAATAATTGCCCAAATTTGCTGCTAAAAATTTTTTTATTATATGATACTTTCTTCTTCCTTAAAATGAAGTAGCATACCACTAACAGACAACAAAAAACTAATGATAATAAAGTATGCATAATTATCTTTCAAAGACTAATTTTACAAAAGAAAGTCATCTGGAGCTTAAATTACGCAAGTAAGTTGCTGAAACACTAATTATACCAAGAGTACAGTTGAGAGCATTGCATTAGACTGGAATAAGTACAGTGATTGCATATTTACACCACATAAAACACTTTGGATGGCTTAATCCAACTTCAAGCATAAAAAACTGGAAGTCAATATTGTTTTTCAAATGAATTATAAAAACTAGAATTATTGGAGCTGGTTTAAATGCACAAGAAAATAGTACCATTTTCTTGCATTAAAATAGCAAAAAAATATGATCATGAAGTTTTTATATGTCACCTATTACTATGAACTACAGCCAATTGAAGGTGTTTAAGTTACTTCATTTTTTAATACATTTAAAAGTGTATTTCAAATAGGCAATAATTTAGGATCTTACAATTTCACCTTTTACAACTGCTTAAAGATTATAATGAATTTTAGAAAAAAGTGCTTAAAATACCAAGGCATATTTTAGATGATGATGCACAATTTGGTGTAATAATGAAATTATAATATTTCTGAATATATACTAATAAGATTTATATAAAAAAACATGAAATTTAATTTATAAAAAATTTTTATTGACATTTTTTTTGATGTACAAATCTTTTGCACCAGACCATATTTACAATTATTTTCTTCTTCAAAGCAGAAAAGATTAATAAGAGATATTTATGCATTAAAATCATTACATTACAAATATATAAATTAATCAGACCAATTATGTTACTCAAATATTATGTAATTGTAACATTTTCATTCTCGAAAGTTCTATCATATAATGTTATTAATACGAAAAATCAAAATTTATTTTTAATAGTCCATCTGAGTATGGAAAAATTAAAATTAAAAAAAATTTTTTTGAATGTCTGTCCAAATTTGTATTACCGTACAGTACTATTTACTATATATTCGTTAAGTACAAAGCTCCATAAACCTCCAAACAACTGAACGTATATCATTCCTTAATTAAACAGTAACGGATCGCTGATACATTTTTTCAGAATTACCAAAAACAAAAATAGGTTCATTAGTTTAAGTTACTACAAGAAAAAATATACAGCTTATTTCTTGATGATATGGCATACATATTAGATAATTGGAATATTCAGGATAGTGCTCCTACTGGGTCAAGTCAGGTCAGGTTTTGAGGAAATATTCAACCCGATCTGAATAAAAAAATATAAGACTCGTATTTATTCGGGTCTCATATTTTCGTAACCCGACCTTAACTCGACCAAGTATAATTTAACTCGTGTAACCCAGGTTAGACCCGAACATTTAAGTAACTTATATTATGTGAGATTTTCTTATAATAATAACAAAATTAATTTTTTTTTATTTGAAAAAAAGGCAACTTAGTGATTAACCACTAGTAGCCACCTAAAATTTGTATCATGAATGGTTATACAAAACATGTAACACTAGCTCTTATTTTTTCCTAGACTAATTAAATAAAATAAAATTAAAAATACGAATTTTGAACCTGGTTTAATATAATAAAAGTCAAAGAATTAGGCAAAATAATTAGCAGATATTCAAATCAAAGATAAATTGGAATTCTAAAGCTATCAGAAAAATATTATTCTCAAAAGCCAAAGGTTAATTTTTTTTATTTTTCTGATTAAGCTATGTTAATATTTGTTAAAACTAATTATTGGCTTAATTTTGGCAAAAATTATAATTTTGCCAGAATTAAAAACATCCGGGTCGATCCGGGTCAAACCCGGGTCAAACCTGAGTCAAGGAAATTTATAACCCGACCCAGCGGGTCGGGTCATGCGGGTCATGCGGGTCACGGGTCATTAAAAATCGTTAGTACCGACCCGATTTAAAAGTCGAGTCGGGTCAAATTAACCCAGGTCGACTCGTATCATTCGGAGCACTAATTCGGGAAAAAAAAATTGCTCAAAATTTTATTAATATGATACATGCGAAATTTCATAATTACTATAACAAGTATTTGAAATTTTATTAATACAGAAATAAAAAATGATCACTTGAATTTTTGCGAACATGTTCACTGAAAATTTTTTATTAAAACAGATAAAATAAATACGAGTGACCCATTATACAGGTAAGTAAGATAAATACAAAGTTCGGGACCTAGCCTAATACATGCAAAAAATAAATATAAAAGATACGGTGGCCAATGGTCAGCTGATACATGACGATTTTTTTATGCTAAGACTTAACTACAGTATCTGATTTCCCGCAAGATTACTTGATAATTTTGCTCTTTTTATTTACCTTGATTCTTCCTCAGCATCTTTTAGCTTTTTTGCCTTCTCCAATAACCATACAACTGATATGACCAAGAACCTTTTACATCTTATCTTGCCAATTCTCATCTTTGTACACAAAGGTCAATTGTTATTATAAAGAAATTGATGTTCTAAAAAAGGTCACATGAAATTTGGATTAAACCCTAAAACTTTTAATACATTTGATTATAACTTTAAATTTAGAAGAAAGAAAAGCAAAATATAAAAAGTATGATCATATTGTATGTGAAAAATATAATAATGAAATCAATAAGCAATATTATAAATTGTAATTATTGTAATAATCAAATGATAATTAATAGATGTAAAGTATGTTTTATAGGAAATACTAATGATGATTGTTGTTCATTTTAAATTGATTAATGAAAATAATGTATTCATAGAACCAAAAGTTGGAATTTCAGATTATGATTTAGACGAAGATGATATACGAGTAAAATACAAGAACTTCGATTATATTTTATGTGAGAAATGTAATAAAAAGTATCATTATAATTATTATGATAAGTGTTTTGATAAAGAAATAAGAGAATTAAAAGAATTATTCTCTAAATTACAAGATTATGAAAATTTTTATTTCAAAGAAAAAAGAAACGAAAGAATGAAGAGAATTAAAAGAATTAAAATCTATTTTAATATGTTTATTTTAAATTAAATGGCAATTTAGGAGTATTTAAACAAATTATACAACAATTTGAAAACGCAAAATATTATGTAGATAATAAGAAAATTCTAATAAATAATATAAGATATAATGTAGTAAATAATTGTTAGCGTGAACTGTTCTTATTGTAATTGTTATGATAGGGAAAGTGATATTATTGAAAAAAAGCGTATGGAATTTGGAAAATGTAAAGAATGTCTTAAGATACATAAGAATATGGATGGTTGTTTATAAGAGATTTTGATAAGTGGACCAGTATGAATGAGATTATTGATAAGTTGATACTTGATACAAGAAAATCAAAATATAGTCAGAAAATACGGATTATTAGAATGGATTCCATATGATAAATTTACAAATATTGAATTCATTGGTAAAAGAGGGCTTGCAAAAGTATATCCAGCTATATGGATAGATGAGTCAATTATAAAAGTGGAGTCAATTCTCTAATAATTGAAAAAAGAAACTCTCTATAAATCCACCCCTTGGGACAAAGGGTGTGCATTTATAGAGTTGGCTGTATTGTGGTATAAATGGTAAATAATTAGTAACAATAATGTTATTAGTCCAAAGTGTAACAAAGGACTATATACTTCTACGCTTGATAATTTGTATGTTCATACATTAACTGATATATTATTTGGGCAAGTAACATGAGTAAATGAAATCGTGCAATTTTATTATTTCCCCCTTTTTTTTATGGTAGAAAATAGCTCGTGAGAATCCAGAATTGTTTTTTTTTCACAATCGATACCAATCTGCCTTATATGATTTGGAAATATTTTTGCATCATCAAAATAATAGACAAGAAGAGAAGGCAATATAATAAAGGTATATTATTTTTTTCATAATTTAATTTTTTTAAAAAAACTGTCCTTTATATAAATATATTTTTTCTTTATAGGATGTGGTGTCTGGTCTCTCGGAACTCTAGAATCACAATATAGGTAAAGTTTTGAATAATAACTAGAGTAACTAGGTAATTATTAGTGAGTTATAATCATTATACTGTCAGATTGACTCGAAAATTTTGGGTCGGGTCATCAAACGTTTTTATAATTAAATATAAAAAAAATTGATTTTTTTATTAAAAACGTCAGACTTGA